AGCTGGCATAGCCACAAGCCACCCATGGCTCCTGGACTCTTGAAACATGGTGAGTGCATCTGAGCAGTTCATTTCAAACTCTCCTCCTTTAATTTTCTTCAGTGGCTACGTGTGACTAGTGGCTGCTCTATTAGACACTGCAGCTCTAAAAATAGAACAAGCCATTAACCCCCGGCCGTTGGCTCAGTCCTGCATCGGAGAAAGACAATGTGTCAGCCCATAATCATGCTAGGATGTGGTAGGTGCTTTCACTACTACTAAGTGGAGAAAAGCGTGATTTGTTCGTTCGACGACATTCCTCGAGTATCGCTCACACCCGAGGTTCCCTCCGCAGCTGTGGGAAAGGCAGCCGATGCCTGGTGGAGGCTGGTGGCAACGCTGAGAAACAGGAGTGAGGGGTGCGGTGCTGACATGAACGCCAAGCCCTCGGAGGAGCCCGGACCTGCCGTGGGTGGTGAGGGCCAGCCCTGGCACTGGCCGCGTTCATGCCTGGGGCTTCCTTTTGGCACCAGATGGCCACTTTTCCCTTAGACTCTCCTGCCTGCTCTGTCCTTCTGGGGCATTCCAGGACCATGGGAGATGTTTTGTAGAAAGGCCCGTATGTGTCGGTGGACGTGAGCCCGGATGAATCTGGAGGAGGCTGCAGCTGGGGGGCAGACTGGCTTCTCCAGCTCTTGGACCACAGCCGCCACAGGTGGGAGAGGAGCAAACACTGCTTCCCGAGCTGGGCACGTCCTGTCCTGCTCCCCCGCACAGCAGACACGGAGTCCACGTCTGTCCTGCTCCACCCCCCCCCCAGGTGGGAGAGGAGCAAACACTGCTTCCCGAGCTGGGCACGTCCTGTCCTGCTCCCCCGCACAGCAGACACGGAGTCCACGTCTGTCCTGCTCCCCCCCCAGCAGACACAGGGTCCACATCTGTCTTGCTCCCCCCCACCCCAGCAGACACGGTCCACGTGCAGGCATAGGAGGCTCCACACTCCCCTGTGCGTGTCCCAGGGTTTCCTCCAAGGCTTCACTTGGAAATATTTCAGACCACTGGGTATCGTCGATCAGAAGGCGTCTGCTGATCACGGAGGGGTCTTCATCCCGGCCCATGCAGCCACAGCGTCTGAGTTTCCCTGGTAGCTCAGACAGTAGTCTGCCTGCAATGCAGAGAATGCAGGTTCCATCCCTGGGTTGGGAAGATCCCCTGGAGAAGGAAATGGCAACTCTCTCCAGTATTCTTGCCTGGAGAATCCCATGGACAGAGGAGTCTGGCAGGCTACAGTCCATGGGGTCACAAAGAGTTGGACACAACTGAGTGACTAACACTTTCACTTAATCCAGGAGTTGTCTGACACAAGTAAAGTGAACTCTGGCCTGGGGGCTTGGTTGTCATGTCTAAAATCAATACCAGGAACTTGCAGTCTGATTTTGTTCATAGGTGGAGCACAATTTTATTTATAGTTTACATTAGTAGCTATAAAAAAAAAAAACTTGAGCATCAAACCATGTTAAACTGGCAGAAGACACTGGAAGCTTGAGGCCAACTAATTCCAGAAAGTTGGAAAAAATGAATCCAGATGGTTTACAAGGTGTAGGAGAAGGAAATAAAGCCAACCCGGGTAAAAAGAGAAGGCAGTCTCCATTCCCCTGCTCTGAACTTTCCAACCCCATCATCTCAGGTCTGAGTGTCTGGGAGTTTGGGGTAGCAGAGTGGGGAGAACCAGCAAGAAGTCCACTGTCATGCTGGATTCACACCGGTGTGCTGGGTTCATACCTGCGTGCTGGGTTCACACCTGCATGCTGGGTTCCACCTGCATACTAGGCTCACACAAGTGTACTGAGATCACACCATCATGCTGGGTTCACACCATCGTGCTGGGTTCACACCATCGTGCAGGGTTCACACTGACATGCTGGATTCACACCTGCATGCTGGGTTCCACCTGCATACTAGGCTCACACTAGTGCACTGAGATCACACCATCGTGCTGGGTTCACACCATCATTCAGGGTTCACACCATCATGCTGGGTTCACACCATCGTGCAGGGTTCACACCGACATGCTGGGTTCACACCTGCATGCTGGGTTCCACCTGCATACTAGGCTCACACTACTGTACTGAGATCACACCATCGTGCTGGGTTCACACCATCGTGCAGGGTTCACACCATCATGCTGGGTTCACACCATCGTGCAGAGTTCACACCGACATGCTGGGTTCACACCTGCATGCTGGGTTCCACCTGCATACTAGGCTCACACTACTGTACTGAGATCACACCATCGTGCTGGGTTCACACCATCGTGCAGGGTTCACACCATCATGCTGGGTTCACACCGATATGCTGGGTTCACACCTGCATGCTGGGTTCACACCATCAGCAGACCTTCCCATTGCCCAGTGCAGGTGGGCCATTCTGAGCAACGTCAAGGTTCGCTGATTTCCCATCATTGCCTGCATCTGAATGGACCTGAGGGTGACAGCAGGTCGGCTGTCTGTTCCAGTGAATGTATGGTGTGCAGGTAGCTTTGATGCAGAGCAGACACACTGCAGGTTGTTGCTGAACCACGAAAGACACCAGGATTCTTGGCCTCCAGAGGAGAAGAATTCAAACCAGGGCCAGAGATGAGGTGTGATCTCTTTGACCTCTTCTGATGTCTATGTGAGAAGCTTTCTCTATCTCTGTTATACTTTAATAAAACTTTTTATTACACAAAACTCTGAGCGACCAAGGCTTGTCTCTGGCCCCGGATTGAATTCTTCTCCTGTGGAGGCCAAGAATCCTGGCGTCTTTCATGGTTCAGCAACAACCTTTCAACACCCAACAACTTGTTGATGGACAGACAATTGAGAGGAGATTTCGGGAGGTAATAGTAGTCCTCATGAGCCACAAGTTCACCAACAGAGCCCAGAAGGACAAGACTACTTATTGCTACACTCACTGACTTATTCAGATAAACACAGAGTGAATACATCAGCAAGTCCACTGAAATCCAGGACAACATCTGGAGGAGATGGGTTGGAATGGAAGTTGGACCTGACCAGTTGTCAGAGGTTGAAAGCAGGAGGATATGGTCATTCATGCAATGGAATGTTTGTCTGGGATTATCAACACAGCTTCTCCCCAAATCCACATAAATGTTCCCATAAGAAAAATCTCAGATATCTGTGTATTTCCTATTAGAAACACTCTCTAGACCAGTGTGTGTTTCCTTCAGCTTCTCTGATTACAATAAATATTATCCTGGGGTTGATTGTTGTATTTCTAAGAGATGAGAACAGTCAAGAGGCAGAAGGCCCATCACACTAGGTTCACGTGGAGGCTCTGCCGCCTTCTCTTTGCCCATCTCCTCCCTCCAGCCCCGCTGTGTCCTCCCCACTGAGCCTGCATCACCTTCTCAGGTGCACCCGTGGTCGCGTTATGGATTGCAGGAGAGAACTCAGTAACTCCTGCTTGCTGCACTCAACCCCGAGTCCCTGAGCAACCCACAGGCTGGTCTGACCCCAGCCAGCCCTCAGGTCCCCGTGCTCACCCCCAGGCATCTGTGTATGGCCCTCCAGGCCCATCTCTGGGGCCTCTCCCTGGGGACGCCCCAGGCCCCTTGATGCGTCACCCCTCTTCTTGTGACATGGTCCCCTCTCTGCGTTTCAATCACATGTCTGTCACTCTGGGTCTATTCACTCAACAGCTACTTGAAGAGTGCCCCTGCCCCCCGGCTGCTGGGTGCACCGTGGTAAATAGTGACCAGAGATTCTAAAGCAGAATTACCACCAGGGCTGAGTCCTGTTGGACCAAAAGTGACCTGAAAAGTGGATCTTCGCCCTCGACCTCTGAGTCTACAGGCCAGCACAGACGGGGCTGCCAAGATAATGACGCACTGGGTGGGTTTTGACTGAATGATTCCTAGGTCCAGAAATAAGCTGATCGTGGTCTGCAGTGTACAGTGTTCAGCTATTAGTGGGGGTCACACACCTCATTTTAACACATGGGATAATCACTAACAACAATTTTCCCTGTATGTCTTTTCCCCTCATTCCTTGCAGTACACACACACACACACACACACACACACACACACAGGATTTCCAGGAAGAAAAGGACTACATTTAGCACTTTGGAGAATTGCTCTTTTTCACGGAAAGGTCACGAGCACCTACCCTAAGAGTCTTACCCAAGTTTGGGCAGTGCTGGATGCTAGGTAAGCCGAGTGCTGTCTGCAGTGCCAGGGTGGGGTTGACAACTTCTGTAGACTTTGAAACTTGTTCCCATCGATAGATGTTATGGTCCTCTTCCCAGAGTGGTCATTCTCTCTACAGATACAGTACTATCTTGAGAATGTTCAAATCCAAATATATCCAGAGCTTTTCCACAACATTTATATTTTCATATTTCACAAAATGTATATTATATGTATTAATGCAGAGTGCAGAACTAATTCTTATTTCTATATGCATGGGCTTCCGTTGTGGCTCAGCTGATAAAGAATCCGCCTGCAATGTGGGATACCTGGGTTTGATCCCTTGATTGGCAAGATCCTCTGGAGAAATAGTCTACCCACTCCAGTGTTCTGACCTGGAGAACGCCATGGACTACAGTCCATGGGGTTGCAAAGACTCGGACACACCTGAGCAACTTTCACTTTCTAAATGCGTATTACACTCGGGTGCACTTGGGTGTATTTGGGGAGGCGGTTAGTAAACTCATGTTGTCGGTTACAGGGTGATGCTCACCGTGCTTCATAATGTCCTCGGGGATGCTGTGAGGGTTCCCAGGTGATCACGGGGACGGTGCTGACGGGGGCTGAGAGAGGAGACCCCCACGCACTGGGTTTCCGTGTGTCGCTGCTTCATGCACAGGGGCCGCACATGTGTGACCACCCATGTGCACACACCCTCTCTGCATTTGTGCTGAACCCCAGCCTTTCCAATCACGACTCCCGATGCCCCGACGCTCAGCGACAGTAACTCAGGTCTTCTCTCTCTCTCTCTCTTTCTCTCTCTCTCTAACAGCGTGTATGGTTGTCCCTTGGCTAAAAAAAGAAAAACACAAGACAAACAGCCCCAAGAGCCGGCTCCCAAGCGGAAACCGTTCGCGGTGAAGGCGGACAGCTCGTCGGTGGACGACTGTTACGACAGCGACGGCTCGGAGGACGTGGACGAGAAGGAGGAGGACGAGGATGAGGAGGACGAGTCCGACGAGGACGAGGAGCAGAGGGAGGATGAGGAGGAGGACGAGGACGGGGACCGCGAGGACGAGGAGGAGGACGACGAGGACGACGGTAATCCTCCGGGGGGCCCGGGGCCCGCGCGCCACGGCCCTGGGCTCAGGCGGCGGGGCAGCGCAGGAGGCACGGCGGGCCGCGCGGCGCTCACCCTCCGTTTAGGGAATTTCTGTCGAGCATCCCTCAGACCTTAGGTGCCCTTTCAGTCAAGTCGTTATTCAGATTGGTCATCCCCAAATTTGCTGAAACGTCTGTGGTGTGCACGTTTGTGTAGCTTAACCGCTTTCATCCAGAAAGTTCAGTCTGCGTTTTCCCAGCAGCTCCCCCCAAGAGGTCCCACCCTGAGCCACTCCGGGGGCGGTGGGATGGACATGGCCCAGCCCGCCAGCCTCCCTGGGAGCTGGAAGCGCAGTGTGACCCCTGCACACGAGCTGGTGAAGTAGGCTTAGTCCTTCGGCTGCCAGGGCTTTGTGTCAGTGACCATCGGGTAGGGGTCCAGGAGGAACACGACTCTGTGAAGTGATGGATTAACCCATCGTCTGTTTCCGTGTGGGAGAACCATGTTTCTAATCCGGTGAGGTGGACAGGTCAGACGCCCACTGTGTCGGGTGGTGGCATCTTTCAAGCAATAAATTTCAGATGGCTTTGCTTTTGCATCCAGCTTTCTATTAGTGTCAGACTCAGAAAGACCAGAGTTCAAATGCCAGTCCTTTCTCAGAAGTTGTCTCTTTTCTAGAGAGAAGTAGGTTTCTGAAGAGTCTCATTCTAGTCTTTACTGCCTTGGAGTTTGCCTCAGAGAAATGGCAAACCACTTTAAAAAGTAACAGGAATCTTTTTTTTTCCCCTTATGCTTCTTCGTTGGGCTCAAATCTCTTCGAGAATCTGAATTCTGAGAAATGCTAATTTTCCAACACAAAGGACAGCAGTTTTCATCAGTGGAGAGAGATTTTTCTTAGATCCTGTAGATGTGAGTAGGTTGTTGCTAATCCATGGTGTGGACATGAATCAACATTCCTCCTTCAGGGGTCAGACGAGTTAGTTCCAGGAAACCTGACTTTTGTGAAATAATCCTTGATTGCTCTCATGAGTTAGGTCCTTATGAAAGGACCTTATGCAAACAATTAGACACATTTACATGGATAATGCAGGCATGCCTACAGGTACCTGTACACACACACACACACTCACCTCATGGATTGGAACGGGGTCTCCCCAGCTTATTTTCCTTGTCTCGTGGTGCAGAGGCAGCCTGGGCATCAGATGAGGGCACCCCACATGCAGACACCGCTCGCTCTGCTGGGCAGACCGCACTGTCATTAGTGAGAAGATGGAACTTCCATGCTGAGATTTAAAAACAGCAGCTCTGGGTAATAAAATAGTGGAATGGGAAAGTTGGAGATCTGACCAGTTTGGAAAATATTTCTGGACTCTGTATTCAATGTGTATTGTTCTGGGTGAAACCATCCATTGTTGAGGCTGATTCATGATTTGCAGCTTAACCGCAGCTTCGTATGAAGATGGTATAAGATGCTGCTCTTCCCTGCTCTTGTTCTGTGTTTCGAAAGCAGTAGATATGAACATCTAAAGTTGCGAAAGTTTGGGTGCCTGATGGATGAAGGTGGGAGAGATGTGCGCATACGGGCGCCTCATCTATCCAAGTGTCTTAATCAGAGTGTAGACTCGGCCCTCCGTTTGCTAGAATTAGACTGACAATTTTAGCTTACTTAGGGCTGCGGTTTAAAGAATCTACTTTAAAAATGCAAAGTAACATATTTTGCAGGAGTGAACAGAGCCTTATTGAAGCAATAGGCTTTAGCTTGTGACTGTATTGGGTTTGTTTAATCAGACTTGAACACTTAGAATTGCTTTAAAAACTGAGAAAGCAAAGCTAGAGAGAGTTTTCTAGGAAACGTCAAGTAAGTGGGTGTAAAAAAGGGTTCATGAAATAGTTGCATGATTATAACATCTGACCATGTGCCATCACCTGGCAGCCAGCAATCAGTGCTCTGCAAACATTGAGTCCATGTCAGAGGCATGTAAGGAAGCTGGTTCCAGAAAGAAAAAGCCCAGCAGAAGGATAAATGATCACCTGCCGGCTCCTGGTGTCAGAATTCATGCTCAGCTCTGGATTCCCCAGCTAAGCCCCTTTTAGAATCATTGATTGCGTGAACTTCAAAGGAATCAACCAGAGCTACCAATGAGAGGTGCAGCCAGGCTGCCCGTGCTGTGGGTCACTGGGCCACCTCTTCTGTTATAAGACAAATATGTCAGTTTGACCAAACATTTTGACAGTAGTGTAATCAGTTACTCCCTCTTGGACAGGCTCTCATCAAATCCTACATCCCGAAGAGTTGTTAGCTCAGAGATGGCCCATGTGACAGGCCCTGCACCAAAGTTAGGTTATGTTAAGCTCTGGGTGTCACAGGCTCACCTGATTTCTAAGTCAAACAAATGCATCCCTCCTAAGAAGAGCCCACTTCCGAGGCCTGGTTCCTGGAGAATGTTCCACAGAGCTTCTCTGTTCTAGAGAGAAGTCTCCACTGCAGGAGCCCGTGAACAGGTGTCCCAAGACCCCATCTACCCACGTGAACACCTGCCAAGTGGACTGAACAGCAAGAGTTTCCTAGCCCAGGGCCAGGAATTTTCAGGAAGGTTGGACCCCAGGAGACCATAGCTGGGCCGATGAATCATGTCTTTCACGTGATCAGACTCCTAGCTGTGTCAACTTAGGACAGTCAGGCTTTGAAAGGCATGTGCCCGCCCGGCTCCTGTTTCTCCGTCCTCCCCGTGTGCATTTTGTTTTACCTGATGGCTGAGTTTGCTGCCGGGATCACCACCAGCCAGTGTGAGTTCTGCCTCCAAGGCCACATCTGTAACGTGAGAAGCTCAGTGTGCTTGCAGGACACCCCTACATAGCGTGCGTTCCTCCCCTCTGTGTATTGGCAGAAACTGGGCATTTCTGAAAAACTGGGAAAAGTGCCTCTGTGTCTGGTGACCGGAGCGCTGGGTCAGCATCTCGAAGTCGCTCTTGTGTGTCCTGGTTGACACTCTTGGTGACCGTTGCATCGCCAGCCGTCAGCGGATTTTCTCCGAAGGGGGCCTGAGCCTCTTTCTGAGCCACCAGCGCGGACAGTGACTGGTGGTTAAGAGAGGAGGAAGCAAGGCAGGCAGGGTGCAGGGCCGGGGGGCCTGGGGGGCGCCCTGGGGCTGCTCAGGAGGCCTGTCCCCGCCAGCCAAGGGCCCCTGCCCGAGGAGACCAGGGCTGCCCGGCAGCTGCAGGGGTGAAGCTGAGCTTCCCTCAGCCTCAGCAGTGGGTATTACACCTCAGGCCATTTCTACCAAAAGGATGCTGTTTTCTTTCCCCACCTCTATTATAAATTGAAATGTCGAGTTTACTAAGAGGTTTTGTTACAGAGAAAACAAACGTATACAAACCACCAAATTATTACATAGGCATCCACTGATTACAGAAGAACTGTTATAACTTGCAAATGAGGTGTTTATTTTAATTCTGAGACTCCTCCGGCAGTGTAGTCACAGAGGAACCAAAATATCACTAATAATGTACATTTCAGTCAGTACAGTCGTGTGCGTACAGTGCTCGACGTCACGGTGATTGTGTGAGACAGGTGGGGTAGAAACTGCTTCCCTGCCAGTGTGCTGATGAGACAGACACGGGGGCTCAGAGAGACTGGATTGTTTTCCGTTAAGAGACAGGTGTGTGCTGACACTGCTGGTGGGTTCTCTTTCTTCAGAACTCACGTTCTTTTTATCACATTTTGCCTGTTTCAACAACAGGAAAGGCTAATTGAGTAATTCATTTCAGATTACATTAGATTCATAACTAATTAACCAAAATTATATTTTGTCCAGTCAACCTATCATAGGCTGGACTTTTGCATGAAGAATTTTATTTTCAAATGCATATGGTGGTTTAAGTCTATAATTATCAGATTAAAGTTCCCTTGTTATCCTAAAGTTAAGAAAATTATTATCCAGGGGTTGTAGATTATAATAGCAGATTTCGTGCATGGTATAGTTAGTACCTTTTCAGAGTCTTGTGATTTGAGACATAGAGATTCAGCGGTTATTTAATGTCTGATAAGTCATGGTCTATTTTCATAGTATAGCCCACTAAAATGAACGTATTTAAAGAACACATCTTTAAATAATAGATACACACATGTACATGTGTATAAAATAAGCATGTGCACCTATGTCACCTTTTGAGTATATATGGTATCTGCCTACTGACAAGAAAGGAAATTCCGTGAGGAGGAATAGAGGAATGTGCTGTCCAGATGAGAGAAGACCCTCACATCCACTGTCATCTTTAACACTTAATCATTTCTTAATATATTTTGTTTCTGAAATACATTTGTAAATATATAAAGTCCTTTGTTTGCTTACCCTTTAATTGAATCTTGGGACTGTCTTGACAGTTCAACTTTGAAAACAGTTGATTTGACCAATTGGGTCAAATTAAGTGAAAATTCAAGCACCTTCCTTTTCTAGAGATTTCCTGGCTTCGTGTTCTGGGTATGAATCAGCCAAAGGTGTGTATGCATGCCTGAAGTCCATGCCTGAGAGGACTTGCGTGGTTGGAAGGGAGTGTGTACTGAGGGTGCGTGTGCTGAGGATGTACACGTACGCGGGCTGCTCTGGGCAGGGGAGCAAGCGGGGTGTCGGGGGCAGGGGTCCCGTGGGGCTCAGAGCCTGGTGTGCTGTTGTCAGGTGGCACAGCTCACCCCGTCTCCCACCGAGGACCCACCCACGGGGGGCGTTCAGCGCCCGCCCCGACTCTGGGCTCCGCCCCCACAAGCGGTCCCCAACGCCCTCCAGCCGTTCTGCAGACACTCGTCTGTCTTTGAAAGGAACTCAAGACAAAGCCCACCCCCACAGAAACAACTTTTTTAAATTGCCCAGTTTCCAGGTTGCTTTTCCTTCCACACAGGGTAATGTACTGGGTGTCACATAATTAAAACATCATGACAACTTGCGATCAGTGGGCTTGAGTTTGGGGCTTCCCAGGCGGCTCGGTGGTAAAGAATCCGCCT